CACACACACACACACACACACACACACACACTCACACGCACACGTACACACGCACACACACACACGCACAAACGCACACACACATATATATATCATCACTGTGTATCTGACGGTGGCGGCGTATAGATAGATAGATAGATAGATAGATAAATAGATAGATGAACGGATAGAGGTGAAAGAATGAGAAACATACGAAATGGAAAAAAATATAAAGGAAATGGTTTGCACAAGCTTAAAAAAGGGAAAGGAGAAAAAATAAGATAAAGAAAAAATATGATAACGAAGAGAAGAGAATTTCTGGGAGAAGAAAAAAACAGAAGATGAAGAAGAAAACGAAGAAAGAAAGAAGAAAAGATGACGGAATAGAGAACAAGAAGATAATAAAGATGAAAATGATAAAGAAGAAAACACAAAGAAGAAGAAGCGAAGACCACAAAAGAGAAGAGAGGAAATGAATAAGAAAAGAAGATAAAAGACAGACAAGAGGCAGTGAAGGATAAATAAATAAACTTTACTCTAACGGCATCAAGAGGTTGGGTAGGGAGGGGGAGGGGGGGAGGGAGGGAGGAGGAGGGGTGAGTTTAAAGAGCCGGGAGCCAGAGGTGGATGGGGGGGGGGGTGTATATATGTATATATATACATATATTTGTATATCTATGTAAACATATATGTGTGAGTATGTGTGAGTGCGTGCGTGTGTGTGGGGGGGGGGTGAGGGGGAGGGGAGGAGGAGGGGGTGAGTTTAAAGAGCCGGGAGCTAAAAGGGGGGGTGAGGGGTAGGGAGGAGGGATGAGGAGGGGGGGGGTGGGCAAGAGGGTATGAGGGAGCTGGGAAGGAATGTGGGGGGGGGGGGAGGAGGAGGGAAAGGCCGTAGGGGAGGGGGGGTATGAGAGAGAGAGAGGAGAGGGGGCCCTGAAGCCAACATACCCGTTGCTCGCCCGCTACATTACCCCCACCCCACCCCCCTATCTCCCTGCTCTATCCTCCCCCCACCCCACCCCCCTTATCTCCCTGCTCTATCCTACCCCCACCCCACCCCCCCTATCTCCCTGCTCTATCCTACCCCCACCCCCCTCTATTTAACTCTTCATAAATCGGGTATCCTCTGCCACTCGGGGGGTAACCCATTACTGTCATTACTTAGAGTGAAAGACGAGATACTGTAAACTCACTTAAGTTCGCTATTCTTGTTAGGTTAGTAAATTAAATTTTATTTGTTATTTGTTCATTTATATCATCATTTATTATCATATTATCATTTGTTCATTTTCATCTGTTTATTGTTATTAGTTGTTTATTCATTGTTACTTCTCGTTATAGCTTATTTATTACTATTTAAACATTATTATAATTTGATTTCTATATATCTTTTCATTATTATCTAACTGTTTGATATAATAATAATTATTATCAAATTATCATTATAAATAATCATAATATAACAATTATATATTAACTTCCCATACTATCATCATAAACATCATTTACATAAGTGTTTGATTAATGACAATAATAACCAAAATGATTGTGATATAATGGAATTTATGAGCGTGCATTCTCCTTATTCTAATCTTGAGTGATGTAAAAAAATAAAAACTAATATTCAATTTTCAGGTATTAAAGAAAGGTTCGATGTTTATATATCAAAAATAGAGAGCATAGAGGGTTAAGTTAATTAGAATCTACTAGAATTTGAATCTGTTTTAGAATTAGAATCTGTTACGATTAAGGATTCGATCCTTTGAATTATAGCAAATTATAGCAAGTTTAATAACGTAAGAGATTGATGTTGGTTAGATCCGGGTCGGTTTTCGGTGTTTACCCTGCAGTAAAAAATAAATAAATAAATAACATGTCATTGATATCTTTCTAGATCTAATATGTCAATGATATATGAAAAAACGGACGAAAAATATATAAAGGAACTTAAAGCTTATTAAATCCGAGTTGAGTAAGATTTAACATTGACATCCATCCTCCTAAATCGAACAGCCTGTTATATTCATTATCTTTTATTTATTTTTTTGTTTTCTTTTCTTATTGTGCTGATGAAAATTAACACAAAGGGGCTAAATCTAACGGTGTTTTATGGCTTCTATGACATATTCTGCTTCGGGGAAAAAGATACAGAGGTATGTAAACACGTCTCTGCTACTTGACCTGTATCTATTGCCTCGCTCGAGGAGAGAAATTCTGGGTACATTTTGATTTGAATTTAATTTGATAATTGCTATAACCTTCAACATTAATTATTATTTTATTGTTGATATTTTTGTTTTCTGTTACTGTAATTTTTTTTACTTTTATCATTGACTGTATTATTACTTGTATTTTAAGTGTCATCATCAATAGGGTTATCACTGATACTGTTGATAACTTATATAGCAATTATAATGGTAATAATGATGATGATGATGATGATGCTTCTATTACTGATAGTAGTAATAAGGATAATAGTAGTGATATGATTATGACAATGAAAATAATAATAAAGATGGCAATAATAATGATCATGATAATATTAGTGAACATAGTAACAACAATAACGATGCCACTGATAATAATAACTACAGCAATAACATTAACAATAATATTGAAAGCAACAATACCCTCTCTAACGAGACACTAACCCCCACCTCTCCAAATTCCAGTCCAGGACAATGCTCCTCGTCGCCGCCGTTCTCTCACTCTCGACCCTCTGCACGGCGACGGAAGACAAACCGGAAGCTGCAATGCTCCGGCAATTCGGGCCTTACGGACGCAGCCCCGACTTCCAGCGGAACTCCCGTAACGACCACCACGACCACCAGAACCGGAGACGACCTAACGACGGCCACAACCTGGACGACTTGTACGCCAACCACAATACCGAGAGGGGGGACTTCGATAGATTAGGCGACCTGGGTGACGGCGTTCAGGATTTCGGGGATAATTACTTCGAAAATGACGCAGGATTCTCGAGTGGCGGATCCTACAGGCAGCAGGACAACGGGATGAGGTCGGGTGGGTCCTTCGACAGGATTTCGAAGCCTGGACTGACCCGTCGAGTAGGATACGCGATGGACTACGACTGGCGTGGGGTAGACAGGAGTGGTGGCAGTAGGTGGGTATTTCATGAATCTATTTATCTATTTGTTTTAGAAGATATACAGTATTTTATTAGATTTAACTTTGCATAACTATGATTGTGCTGACTGGAAAATGTAGTTTTGTTTGTGAAATGTCTCTAGACATAGATGGTTTCACTAACCCTAATAATATCGGTGCTGTTATCCTTAAGAGCATTATAGACGTTATTGACAGTAGTAATAACAATTTAAAATTAAAGAAAATATTTTCGAAAATTAAGGAAAAAGGTGAACAGGTGAGATAGGAAGTACTAGTAATTGACTCCTTAGTGACTTGTGGAGCCATCTGTGTGTAAAGACAGTTACTAAGATAAACTCACAGTGGGCATGGGGCGCTAATGGATTAAAATATTTTGTTTTGAATGTACCATCTTTTTTCTATATTTATCATTTTCAAATCTATTCTGTGTCGTTTGATGATGCTTTACTATTTTCACTGGTTATTTTTATAATTTGTGTCTATTTCATCTTTGCAATTAATTATTAACTATTGATATATTGTTCAACTCATCATGTTTAGGTTAGAGTAAGAAAATTACTTTAATGATCAAATTCTTACAAAAAAACTGCCAATAATATACACTATAGAGCAGTTTCCTGCACAACCACAATTCCCTTCATTTTCCTCAACCAACCCACCACCCTCTCTTTCTCTCCCCCCCTCTCTCTACACCTACAATATCCTTCGTGTTAAAACATCATGATAACAATTCCTTCATCTCAATCAACCACCATTTTACATCATTTTAATCCGAACCGATCTGTAACCACCCTCCCTCTCTCTCTCTCCACCTCCACAATAGCCTTCATATTAACATGACAATTCCTTCATCTCCATCAACCACAATTTGACATCACTTTAAACCAAACCGGCCTTTAAACCACCCTCCTTTTCTCTCTCCCTCTCTCTCCTCCTACAACAGCAGTACCAGCGGAAGCATTGACGTCTACAGCATCCTGGCCTTGGGTATCTTCGCCGCTTTCCTCGGCTACATCGTCTACTACTACATCAGCGTCAACGGAGGAGGCAGGTCCCTCGAAGGGCTTGGGGGAGAGAGCATGATGAAGATCCTGGAAGACGTGACGAAGGGGGTCGAGCGATGGGCCATTCTTGAGCTGCTGCCTCATAGCCTGGAGGGTTTTGATATTTCCAGGTTGTTGAGTCGATAGATGTTTTTATTGTTGTTATTTGTTGTTCATTTGGTGTTAATGTTAGGTTATTTATTGTTATTTCTTAATTGTTAATTATTTTTATTATTATTTGTTGTTTGAGTCTTTTTCTTTCTTCTTTTTCTTGAGTCGCTACCTGATAACTTGAATGGCTTTCATATTTCCAGGTTGCTGAGTAGATAAATGAGTTTAAAGTTGAGTTATTTACTTTTTGTGTTTAAATAATTTTTTTGTGTAACTGTTAAGTTATTTGTTATTAGTTGAGATATTTGTTTTCGTTTTATCTTATATATTTGTTTATTTTGTTATAGTCTAGTTTTTCGTTGTGTGTATTATCACGATAAAACAAAGAAAATATATTTAGGAGAAAAGTGAAATATATAACATTTTACAGAACTAATCAAAACATCTTAATTCTGATAACTGAATTATTTGTACTTTCCCGAGGCACTGTCACATTAAGAGGAATAACACTATAACCATGACGTTTCGAACTCAGACTGAACTCCTATCTTAGTGTGGCAGTTTTTCAGTTCATTTCACACATGTTGCTGTCTCTGTATATTGTATATCATACCTAGTCTTAACACTATATATCATATCATTTTAGTTGTTTAAGATTATATGAAACATTTCCCATTATACATCATTATTTGTGGCATTTATATATGTTAAAGATAATAAGAAATATTTTTTACATTCTGCATAATACTCAACCCTAAAAACATGTTCGACATACACACATCCATTAACATGTAGGTTTATATGTTTATCATTTTTCCAGTTTATGAATCCAATTTGGGCATTGTTAGATATAACTAAAATAAAATGTTAAGATATAATATTTTTTTCTTAGTCCTTGTGAAATCTAAATATAACATTATATTAAAAAAAAGTTTTATGAATATATGTGACAAAGAACTTCCAGGTTAATGTTATATCCTGGATTAAATTTATCAGGTTATTATCATTTATCATCAACTGTTTATTGTATATTAGATTTAATTTCACTCACTGCAGTTCATCATTTCTTAAACACAATATTTATAACATTTACGTAGATTCAATATCATTGTGGGGAACAGAACATACCCACAATAATCAATGTGACTGTAATAATAGCAAAATCAAATGATAACATTAAGAGAGATAATATTGATGATAATTCAGAAGACAATCATGTCGTTAATGAAAGTTAAATCATAATGATAAAAGAGAGGAGTAACGGTACAATTCCCCAAGTTAGAAAATACAGTGTTAACCTTTCCAAACACTCTCGGGTCATCGCCAGCCCTTAAAAGGAAGAAAGAAAGGGAGGATGACGAAGTTGACGAAGGAAATGGAGAAGGAGGAGGAGGAGGAGGAGGAGGAAGAAGAAGAAGAAGAGGAGGAAGAGGAAGACGAAGAAGAAGAAGAAGAGGAGGAAGAGGAAGACGAAGAAGAAGAAGAAGAAAAAGAAGGAACAACAAGAACAACAACAAAACAACAAACTAGAAGAAACATCAGAAAAAAGTAGACGGATGAAGAAGAAGATGAAAGATAAGCAAAAAAAATCAAACAAACATGCAACACGTTACCCTAAAACACAGTTCAGCAACGTCAGCAATGTTTACCTTCATGCCTGGCCGACCCTCGTATGTTCAGACGAGAGTTCAAATCCTTCTTCTGTTCACCGAGTCTGTCCAGTTCAGTGTTCAGAAGGAGCTCTTGATAAGAAGACCTCATTTCGGGTGTCCTGGTGACGTAGGATTTTGAACATGAAGAGTCCTATTTGATCCTTCATTTAAGCCAGAAAGGTTTTGGGGGCGAGAGGGTGGGGTAGCCTGGAGGGAAAAAGGAAGAGGAAAGATTTGATTTTGTTATGCTGTTTTGTGTCTAAGGAGGCGGTGTGATATTGCAGAGTAGGTGTGTGTGTTGTGTTTTGTTTCTTGTATTCATATATATATATATATATATATATATATATATATATATATATATATATATATATATATATATATATAAATATATATATATATATATATATATATATATATATATATATATATATATATATATATATATATATATATATTTAATGATCCAATACAAATGTTTTTTTCTTTCCTTTTATAGACATCATATTTTTATTTTCTCCAAAATTTATCTGATGTAAGTTCAAATCTTCTATAGTATGTTTACTTCAGAATTGTAAATAGAAAACATTATCTGGTGTGTTTTGAAGAAATGATTTCTGTAAGGTATGTGTATATGATAGATTTCTGTTGTTTTATATATGAATATATACATAAAGATTAATGAATGAGAATGAATATCTTCACAATACAAGAGATGTATTTATGGATCTTTAAATGCATCTCTTGTATTGTGAAGATATTCATTCTCATTCATACCTTTTCTACATTTATCAACTTGAATACGGTTCATAAGAATTATTGGTTTGTATAATACTCATCTAATTCTTTCGTGCAGCTAAAATAACAAGTTCAATCGTATTTCATAAAAGAAAACACACACACACACCTCCCCTCCACACACACACACAAACACATCCACCCACCCCTCCCACACGCGCACACACACACACAAAACACACACCATATGGACCTTTCATTCCTTGCCAATTTCTTCTCACAGAAAAAAAAGGAATATCCGACTTCAAAAAGAAAAAGCACAGAGATGTCTGACCCGCGTACTTGGCTGACTGAACTTTGGGAGGACAGAGCAGACAGGGATGGCTACGGGTATGATGACAGGTTAGTGAAGAAGGAAGCTTGTGTTTTTTTTTTTTATATCTCTCGTGATTGCTGTGTTTCTGTGTATTGGTATCATGTTAGTATTTGACGGTGGGTATTATGATATTAGTATTATAGAGATGATAATATTAATGATGATAATAGTAATAATGATGATATTAATGATGATAATAGTAGTAATAATGATATTATTAGTAATGATGCTTATAGTAATAATGATGATAATAGTTGTAATGATGATAATAGTAGTAATAATGATAGCATTAGTAATGATGATTATAGTAATAATGATGGTAATAACAGTAATAACAATGATAATGATGATAATGACAATAACAATGATATTGCTAGCTAATAATAATGATCATTACACATATAAATATATGTGTGTATTTATCTACAACCATGCGCGTTAACATACCCATTCCCGCAAACAAGCCTCAACAACCCAGAACAACCCAATCACACCCTTAACCTCCTAACCACCCAACCACACCCCTAACCCCCTAACCACCCAACCACACCCTTAACCTCCTAACCACCCAACCACACCCTTAACCTCCTAACCACTCAATCACACCCTTAACCTAACCACCCAATCACACCCCTAACCTAACCACCCAATCACACCCTTAACCTCCTAACCACTCAATCACACCCTTAGATAAATAGATCAATAGATCAATAGGTAAATAGGTAAATAGGTAAAGAGATAAAGAGATAAAGAGATAAAGAGATAAATAGATAAATAGATAAATAGATAAATAGATAAATAGATAAATAGATAAATAGATAAATAGATAAATAGATAAATAGATAAATAGATAAATAGATAAATAGATAAATAGATAAATAGATAAATAGATAAATAGATAAATAGATAAATAGATAAATAGATAAATAGATAAATAGATAAATAGATAAATAGATAAATAGATAAATAGATAAATAGATAAATAGATAAATAGATAAATAGATAAATAGATAAATAGATAAATAGATAAATAGATAAATAGATAAATAGATAAATAGATAAATAGATAAATAGATAAATAGATAAATAGATAAATAGATAAATAGATAAATAGATAAATAGATAAATAGATAAATAGATAAATAGATAAATAGATAAATAGATAAATAGATAAATAGATAAATAGATAAATAGATAAATAGATAAATAGATAAATAGATAAATAGATAAATAGATAAATAGATAAATAGATAAATAGATAAATAGATAAATAGATAAATAGATAAATAGATAAATAGATAAATAGATAAATAGATAAATAGATAAATAGATAAATAGATAAATAGATAAATAGATAAATAGATAAATAGATAAATAGATAAATAGATAAATAGATAAATAGATAAATAGATAAATAGATAAATAGATAAATAGATAAATAGATAAATAGATAAATAGATAAATAGATAAATAGATAAATAGATAAATAGATAAATAGATAAATAGATAAATAGATAAATAGATAAATAGATAAATAGATAAATAGATAAATAGATAAATAGATAAATAGATAAATAGATAAATAGATAAATAGATAAATAGATAAATAGATAAATAGATAAATAGATAAATAGATAAATAGATAAATAGATAAATAGATAAATAGATAAATAGATAAATAGATAAATAGATAAATAGATAAATAGATAAATAGATAAATAGATAAATAGATAAATAGATAAATAGATAAATAGATAAATAGATAAATAGATAAATAGATAAATAGATAAATAGATAAATAGATAAATAGATAAATAGATAAATAGATAAATAGATAAATAGATAAATAGATAAATAGATAAATAGATAAATAGATAAATAGATAAATAGATAAATAGATAAATAGATAAATAGATAAATAGATAAATAGATAAATAGATAAATAGATAAATAGATAAATAGATAAATAGATAAATAGATAAATAGATAAATAGATAAATAGATAAATAGATAAATAGATAAATAGATAAATAGATAAATAGATAAATAGATAAATAGATAAATAGATAAATAGATAAATAGATAAATAGATAAATAGATAAATAGATAAATAGATAAATAGATAAATAGATAAATAGATAAATAGATAAATAGATAAATAGATAAATAGATAAATAGATAAATAGATAAATAGATAAATAGATAAATAGATAAATAGATAAATAGATAAATAGATAAATAGATAAATAGATAAATAGATAAATAGATAAATAGATAAATAGATAAATAGATAAATAGATAAATAGATAAATAGATAAATAGATAAATAGATAAATAGATAAATAGATAAATAGATAAATAGATAAATAGATAAATAGATAAATAGATAAATAGATAAATAGATAAATAGAAGAGGATGATAAAAGGAAAAGAGGAGATATTAAGTTCACAAATATGCAATGTATTGATAGACATTTAAAATGTACAAAATTTCTTGAATAAAAAATATGTTTTCGTTTTTTATTATGACTTTGCTTCCCCTTCTTTCATAAGACAGGAAACAAGAACACAGAGATAACTACAACAATAATAACCAAATTATGATAATTATGACTAATTCTGATGCTAATAATGAAATACTAACAGCAAGAAAAAGGTGCATATGATGACCACAATGGTACTAACCTTAACCTAACCACCCAATCACACCCTTAACCTCCTAACCACCCAATCACACCCTAACCTCCTAACCACCCAATCACACCCTTAACCTAACCACCCAACCACACCCTTAACCTAACCACCCACCTCCCCACTCCCCCAACAGCGGCTACGGCGGCGGCGGAGGCTACGGCAAAACGGCCATCGACGCCTTCTCTCTGCTCGCCCTCGCCTCCTTCCTCTGCGTCCTCACTTACCTCATCTGGTGGTGTATTCAGGACCCGACGAGGTGCACGTGCAAGAGGAGGAGGGATTTTGGCGAGGGCGTCGATGCGGTGATGGAGGTTGTGCTGGCGTTGTTGGAGAGAGGGGTGAGGGTGTGGGAGAGTGTGGGGGAGTGAGGGTGGATGGGTGGGTGTGTGTGGGTATATGGGGGGTGAGTGTGGTGTGGGAAGGATATTTTTTTTTTTTTTTTTTTTTTTTTTTTTTTTTTTTTTTTGTGTGTGTGTGTGTGTGTGTGTGTGTGTGTGTGTGTGTGTGTGTGTGTGTGTGTGTGTGTGTGTGTGTGTGTGTGTGTGTGTGTGTGGCTGTATGTGTCTGTGTGATAAAGAGAGAGAGAGAGAAAGAGCAGATAAATAGGTAGATATATAAAGATTCACAAAATCAAGAAGTTTGAAGAAAGTAAATAGATAAATAGATAAATAGAAGAGGATGATAAAAGGAAAAGAGGAGATATTAAGTTCACAAATATGCAATGTATTGATAGACATTTAATATGTACAAAATTTCTTGAATAAAAAATATGTTTTCGTTTTTTATTATGACTTTGCTTCCCCTTCTTTCATAAGACAGGAAACAAGAACAACACAGAGATAACTACAACAATAATGACCAAATTATGATAATAATTATGACTAATTCTGATGCTAATAATGAAATACTAACAAAAAGAAAAAGGTGCATATGATGACCACAATGGTACTAACAAAAATGATAATCGTAATAGGATAATGTTATTGTACGGGTTTTCTTTTAATTGGTCTAAATAATTCTCTGATGTCTTATCAGTTTAATTTGGAGGTAGACGGATAACAGTTTTTATATATTCAGTTTATTCAATATATATATATTACAAAACCCATAACCATACATAAATAAGAAAATATTGGTTTGGTTAACAACAATCACATGGATGACAAGCACTTGAAATACTGCTTGATAAAGGGGCGTAACGCATAAGCACTGCAGTTCTTGGTTTTAGGTCCCCAGGTTTCACATGCACAACAAAAAGGCTGAAAATGATATGAAAATTAATACCACTATCACAATCAGCAATGTAAAAAGAAATACAAAAAGAAATAGCAGATACACGTAAATAACTCACGAGCAGATGCAAGGTACTGCTAACGTAAGCAGGGTCAGTGGCAAAATGACCGACCACCTACTTTACAGGTAACAGGTAAGGGTATACCGCCTCACATGCGCTTTACATTTGAGGGAGAGCGAGTATAGATAACTCTTTCAAGAATATATACACAAAATATATATAATACACATTTTTAGTCATGCTTGTTTATAACCAATGCCATAATACCACATGCAATTTACGAAAACCCTTTACAGTTATTGTTAGTCATATTACAAGCAATTATTAGCAGTAATGGTAATTATTTCATATATAACAATAACGATAATCATGGCAATAATGTCTGATTATAATAATGCTAATATATATATACACATATATTTACATATATGTAAATATATATCTGTATTTGCATATGTATGTATATATATTTATATATGTATGTATATATACATAAATATGTATGTATATATACATACATATGTATTTATATATGTGTATGCACACACACACACACACACACACACACACACACACACACACACACACACACACACACACACACACACACACACACACACACATATATATAGAGAGAGAGTTCTATACAGTGTGACTGTCACGTATCTGTGTGTATATATACAATCAAACACAAACGCACCTACGATCACATACAGAAAAACACACTCTTACCAGATATCACACTCCAGTTTCCGGTCCGTGACAAGAACGCAGTGATCAGTATACCTTTGCCATTGTGAACACGAGCTGATTAAATACAGAAGACTTGAAAACCCAACAAGGAACCAGCTGTTTCTCACGTACTGAGTTCTTGTAAGGAAGTTCCTGGTTGGAGCTTCTGGTCTGATAAATAGATTTAGTGGTGGAATTAAGGATATTGGTGATTTGATGGTAATCCCTAGTTAAAAATGAAGCTAAATAGATAGACCAAAGACAAGGAAAAGGAGATATTAATTTCATAAATAGGCTAGGTGTAAATAGATATTTCAGATGCTTTGTAGTGGTTGAATTTGTAGTATTGCAAGTTAAGTGGGAGTTATTGGTTGAATCTGCTGATCTAATAATGGTTTTGTAATGGTTGAACTGATGGTATTAATGGTATAATGGTTGCTGCCGGTTAAAACTGCCAGTCAATCAATCAATTTATTAATATCAATAGTCTAGTTCTAGTGGTTTGTGTCATTTAATAGTATATGGTCATAATGGTTGACAATGGTTTTAATTATCAAATGATTTAGTAACAGAAATGGACAAGTTTGATATAAAATAGATGCATATGATGCTACCCTGTTCGTGAAAAAACTGGATGTCTGATTTTTCATCTTAATAAACATGTTGCTATTTTACAGAACAATGTCATAAGCATACTACATAACAATACATGAGCATACGTGAACCTAGCTTGACCTATCCAACTGCCCTGTATCTTTTTAGTATCACCGGATTACCGAAACGGTTTATTCTATTGTATAACTTCAGGAGCACATTATAGATCGTAAAAATTGCTGTATTAAACGATATTTCACAATTTCTCATTACTGCACTTATTTCCCTAAAAAAATAATTATAATTATCATCCTAATGATCAGATATAAGATCAAATTAGCTATTGTTTTCATTATCATTATCATGTTTACTGTCATCAATTATATCCCTATTAGGACTGAATTATTAAGATTATTGTTTTGTTAATATCGTAATCATTAATGAATTGTCCATTCATTTTATTTAATGTTAGGTTGTGATGGTAAGAACACACGATGAAATATTTGCCAAGCTTTTTATTGATGTGTTTTGTACTTAATTAATAAAATATACAGGAGATTTGAGAAAAAAAATGTCTATTTCTATTTATATAATTACATGATATCTATATTTGGCTATATTACAAAATGCATTATGAATCACAGTCATTTCATACGTATACACAATATCTATCTATTGTAGACAACATTCACCTACTTGGCATCCGAAACAACTAACATCCATTGTAAAAAAAAAAACTAACAAAAACATATAATATAATATATGCATACATGTATATATTATATACGAGATAATCACATAGCAAATAATGCCCAAATTAAAAATAATTCCCCAGGATTATTTTTTTTTCTTAAATTACATCGTTAAAAGATAAATAAGGTATGCTATTAAGGAACCGACAATCAACAGCCCAAGAAGAGAAAATCCATAGAGAGTATCCTTGCCATAACCACCCTTGGCCGACCTCCGTTTTCTTTGATGCGAGAGGGTAGACGATGCCATTTTCGCCTTCGGTTCCTCGTCCATGCTAGAATCTCCGGTGCTTTGAGTAAGTCTTCCTCCTTCCTCTCTTTCGTATGGGTTATAAACTTCCTCGAACTCGAAACAGGAACTGAGCGATTTGAAAAACTTTACGGGTTCCGAACGTGGTTTGAGATTGATCAAATTGATAAGAAGTTCTCCGCCGTCGATGAAACTATTTGTTGCCTCGATCAGCGTTGCATCAGACACTCTCTCTCGGAATATCTTCGTCAACCACTTGCCTCCGACGAGTGGTATGGTCGAGAACACACAATCTAGAATCACCTCGACTTCCTCCTTTTGTGATTCTTTTCTCCCGACCGTACTTTCTTCATCCGTTTCCTTATTCCAACCTTTATCTTCCTCGTCATTAATTCCATTATTCGTATCTCCTTGAATATCGAGACTCTCACTCCCCAGAATATCTTCATAAGAATCTCCCAACGGCAGGTCATCGCCTTGATTCTCTCTGGGCGTTTCGCAGATAGGATCGCCCGGGGGACAAGGAGGAGGCTGAAGATTCTCGTAAGGATAGGAAGGGGCGTCTGAGAGTCCCGTTGTCGCCGGAAGGATCTTCAGAAGGAGCACGAGCGATCCTGGAACGAGAGAGAGGATTGGCTTAGCCGAAACTGAGGGATTTGTGATCTCCGTGGGGGAAAATATGTTGATATAATGCACTGGTTAGACTAAACTATGACCTTAATTACCCGATATTGATAAATGTTATCTCATCAAATGAGACATATAACCCAGCTTAATTATTTGTATCTGATAATCATATAATCATATGATAATGACTTCTAATCATTATGGAATTGAAAGTAAATAAGAGAAAATATTTTTAAAACATTATAATAACTTACCATAGGTCACCATTCTTCCATGCCACCTGACCGGCACACCTTCCATTTTTCAGTATTCAAAACAACGAAGCAAACAAACTTTTTTCTCCTTATGAAAAAAAAAATATATATATTTCACGGATTGATTGATTATCTAAAATTATCTGCCGCGTCAACAGCTAAGGTCATTAGCGGCGAATCTTTCACGGAAGCCAGCGAACACCACACGAGATATCTCCACTGCAGTTTCGCGTGCGAGAGTCAAGCGCTCTCTGGCGTGTGCAGCCTGCCCGAACCCCGCGTCCTCCACCAATGGGCAGGTCAGCCGATCGAGAGCTTTTCGGGCGGTGTTGCCATTTACGAGAGGAACTTTATCGATATGTTATGTTATATTCTCTGATTACCATATATTGGAGTATACGAAGAATTGTATGCAAACTGTAAAATAATTAATCTTTAGCTAAATTAAGTGGCGTTCTTTTCTTGATTTGTGATCTCTTGGAGAGGAAGTAAAGAGGAAAGAAGTGCTGAATCTGGCAACACCATCCAGCAAAATGTTCTGATGATAACATAGTAGTAGATAGTGTAAACAGCCACAGGTGTTCCTAAGCACGCGTTGAGCGAAGTTATGCAGGCTCCTCGGAAGTTTGAAGAAAACTAAAACCAAATAACGTTCAAACTGAGATAAAACACACTCTTAGAGTAATGACAAAACTGTTTTTAACTCGCTTGTATTTCATCTGCTTTTAAGAATTTGTTCTGATAAACGCAACGTTGTCTCTGGGCTGGTCAAAAC